GATTGAGCGACGGATGAAAGACATACACTGACACAGGCTTGCCAGAGTCAGCAGCAGCCACAATAAGCTGGTGATGCTTGCATTTATTTAGTACAGATTAAATAACAAAGGTCTCGAGTAAACACCATTAACATTGTTGACCCCCTGAGTAGAGAGCAGTTTTGCTCCCCGCCCCCCGATGTTCAAAGATTGGTCTTAGTAAACAAACTATTTAGATAAACTCCTCTACATTTCCTTGTTATTTGGTTTTTGCTATTAGCTCAAGGTAAGAGGATTAGGCTGCCTTCAGCCATAACCTCTTCTCAAGGCTTTTGCAAAAACCTCCTGGCCTTCCAAGAAGGTTTGCATCTATTTATAATTTCTCCCACCATTCTGACCAATCTACAGAATTTCAGATTTTTTTTCTTTGTCATTGGCTTTTAGCAATTTGGTTATGGTTTACCTTGGTATGATTTACTTTGTACTTATCTTATCTTGTTTGGGGTTTGTCGAACTTCTTAGGTCTGTGGATTTATAGTTTTTATCAAATATGAGAACTTTTTCTGCCATTATTCCATCTGCCTCTTCCCTTTAGGACTCCAATTACACATCTGTTATACCTTTTGTTATTGTCCAATAAGTTACAGAGGTTCTGAACATGGTTTTCGGTCTTTTCTCCCCACTCTGCATTTTAGTTGGGATAGAGTCTATTGCTCTGTTTTCAAGTTCACTGATCTTTCTGAAGTGACCAATGCATTATTAGGCCCATCAGTGAATTTTTCATTTTATGTATTCTATTTGTCAGCTCTGGAATTTCCATTTCATTCTTTTAGATATGCATCATTTCCTTCCTTATTATGTTCATGTTACTATTTAAATACTTGGGCATATTTATAATAATGTTTTAAAGTTATTTTCTGCTACTTCCATTATTTCTTTAATATCTACATCTGTTTCTGTATATTGATTGTTCTGCTTATGGGTCACACTTTCTTGCTTCTTCTCATAACTAGTAATTTTTTGGATGCTGGGCATTGTAAACATTGTGCTTTTACACAGCTGTAAATTGTTGTCTTCTAACATAAATAACTTTATACCCTCAAACAGAAAACGGACATTAGGGAAAAAAAACTGGTGAAATCCAGAGTCTGTAGCTTAGTTAATAATATTGTACAGTATTAATTTCTTAGTTTGACAAATATACCACAGTCATGTTTACAATAAAGTAAGCTAGCTGCAGTTCATACAGGAATTCTCGGAATTTTTTGCAACTTTTCTGTAAATCTAAAATTATTCCTAAATCAAAAGGTTATTTTGTTCAATTTCTCATTTTTTCCTTCTATTTACCTTAAGGTATTATTTGTCTTATCTTCCCTTTGCATTGTCTTCTAATTTAGTCTTCATTTCTAAAACAATTGTTTTCTGTGGTTTCAAATTCTTTTGTTATATCATCTCATTTCCAAGTTTTCTGATTCTAATTTACATCACTCTGAAATCTCTTGTTTGAAATAGAATGTTGTATTTTGATTTTGTTTTTTACTGTCTCTCTGACATACACGTTTTTGTTGTCTGTAGGTATAATACTGCTTACTCCTTTTCCTCATAGAATTTTTTTCTTTCTTTTTTTTAATTGAGATAGAGTCTCACTCTGTTACTCACGCTGGAGTGCAGTCGTGCAATCTTGACTCACTGTAACCTCTGCCTCCCGGGTTCAAGCGATTTTGCCTCAGACTCCCAAGTAGCTGGAACTATAGGCACACTCCTGGGATTTTATCATAAGAAAATAATACAGCAACAACAAAAAGCCAAGTGCATAAAGGTATTTATGACAGCATCATCTGAGGCAACAGAAAAATGGAAACAGCTCACGTGTCTACCAATAAGGAACAGGCTGAGTAAATTTTGGTATGGAATATCCTGTAACCATAAAAATGATTAATGTGAAGATTATATACCAAATGCTTGCTCCTCAAAACTAAAGGCACACTCCTCGGCTAATTGTGTGTGTGTGTGTGTGTGTGTGTGTGTGTGTGTGTGTGTGTTTTCCTGTAGAGACAGGGTTGCCCAGGCTGATCTCAAACTCCTGGGCTCAGGCAATCTGCCCACATTGGCCTCCCAAAGTGCTGGGATTACAGGTGTGAGTCACTACACCCAGACTTGAGTTTCATTTTTAAAATTTTGTCCAGCTAGCTTTCAAAATTTCACAGAGCTCCCTCTTCTGTTGTTTTCATGTAATGTCAAAAAATAGCAGTCTGCATTCTAAAATTTAAAAGTTTATTTTAAAAAGTTTTCTTTTGAGATTTCCTAGTTTTTTTCTTCTTCTCCACTTTTATCTAAATCTTCTTTGTTTAGTTACTTCTGTACTTATCTTATTCAATTTTCATTCCCCTCCTAGAAGTTTCCTTAGTTGGGGGCCTGTCTTTAAATGGCATACCATTGGCGACTCAGTTTCAAGAGGTCATGTTTGAACAGTGCCCCACTCTCTTCAGGCCTTACCTTAGCCCTTTGTTCTCATTCATTATTAAAGTGGACAAACTCCTTCTGGTGTTAGCTGCTGCTCTCAACTTGACCCTCCATGCTTTTCACCAGGTCTGATGTTTTCTTATAATTCTCAGGTCCATTGGATGTCCTGTTGCTTCCCACTGCTTTCTCCCTCTCAGATGCCAATACTAGGTTTGTGGTTGTTGGCGACTGCCTTTTGTCACCTAGCTTTATTACAAAAGTTGTCCCCAGGTCTTTGGTTTTGTTAGCTAACTGCTCTGTTTTTTAATGTGGTGATTCTAGAAGATTCATAAACCATGCTCCTCTGCTCCTGCCATCTTCCCAGAATCCCAATACTATCTATCATTTTTTAGACTGGAGCAGGGTAGACACGTAAGCTGTTTCCATTTTTCTGCTGCCTCAGATGATGCTGTCATAAATACCTTTGTACACTTGGCTTTTTGTTGCTGCTGAATTATTTTCTTATGATAAAATCCCAAGAGTAGGATTACTGGGTCAAGAGTAGGAACATCTCTCTGGATCTGGCAATCTATAATCTGAAAATGTGTTTTCAGAATTCTTTTTCTTTTTATAGGGGAAAGGTTGAGGCTCAGTTGTTGGTGGTAAGGATCACATGAGGGAAACAGGCCTGTTTCCCTGACCTGTTAGCTCCGGATCACTGCTAGTCTACCCTTTCTCCAGCCATCAGTCTTTCCTATTTATTTTATTCAATTTTCATCATTCATTTAACCAATCTTTATTAGGAGCTTACTATGTATCAGGCACTATGATTTCTCTCTGCCACACTGTAGTGAATTCCAGAAGTGAATCTAATACACAGAATGTAAAGAGACCCAATCTAGATGTGTCCTAGACTATCCTCTCTGAGGACTACGAAGGGTACTGAAGCTTGTCCTCGCCTGGGTTCCTGCAATCTTCCAACATGTCTGAGATTGTTCATGGAACCCTAGAATCTCTCACCTAGACAGATCTGGTATTAGCAATCTATCCCATTCCATAGGCAGGCTTGGTCCCATAGTATGGCAGGCCTGAGCAGGAAAGGGACAGCCTAAGCAACCTCAACTGCACCAGCTGATCCAGTTGCCCCAATATTATCTTGATACTCCTGTCCACAAAACTGGTAAGCTAGAAGTAACCCCCAGGGTCTCCTAACCACAACCTGACAGCTATATTGATTCAGTCTATATACCTGACTTTCAGCCTCAGTTTCCCTCAGTCTGTCTTTTCAGTGCCTCCTCCCCCTCCCCTTTCCCACCGAAAACTGAGATTTGTCCCGAACCCAGGTCATCTTAGGTTGGGTTCTGGTTGTGGTTCTGAGTTCCTGCCATCCCTGGCTAGAATCCTTTTACATTGGGGCTGACCCTGCTCCACTGGTTGAGTCTGTGTGTTTGAAGTGGACAAACTCCTTCCAGTTTTAGCTGCTGCTCTCAAGCAGCAGACCAGTTGACTCATGGGACTAGTCCATGACCAGTTGACTTGTGGGACTGACTAGTCCATGGTACTGAGAAGCGTATATAACTTGTATCCAAGCCTGCTAAGCTATTAGTAATAATCACAGTGTTCTAAAGGTGAGGACCCCAAGGGCTACAGAGTAAATGTACACAAATAGCAAGTTTGTATCATATTAGGCCTAGAGCTCAAGATTTTTGCAATCTAGTCCCCTCCATAGGCAGACTTAGCCCTATTGTAAGGTAAACGGCTTTCGTCCTAGTGTATGCCTAGAAATTTAGGAAAGTATTCTAAAGCAGAAGCCCAATTGCAAGGCCTGAGACCCACAGGGTGGGGGAGGAAAGAAGACCTCAGGATTTGATAATAAAATAAATTCTACTTTTTAAAACAGGAACATGAATCAGGAAAGTCTTGAGCAGCAGAACTGATTTTATGGGGAGCCCTAGACCATCAGGCTGGATGTAGTCATCTTAAGATGCGTCTTACCTCTTAAGAATGTACCAGGAACCTGAATCAGGGCTGGGCTGATAGGTGAGAAGAGACAAGGTAGAAAATTGACGAAGGATATGGGGGTGAGGAACCAGGCTGGACCTGACACAGAGATGCTCAAGTAGCCCATGTTAGTTGAAACCTCCCTGCTTCATGAGTCTTGGATAACAATTGGCTTAAAATACACAACCTCATGGCCTGTGGAAGTCTACAGCTTTCTCCAAAATTTCTGTAAATACCTAGGACACATACATTATTTTGTCCTGGTCTCTCAGGGATAATATTCTTTGAGTAGTCTTTGCTCTGTACTGCATCAATCAAAGCACAAATTTAGCTCTTTCAAAGAAAAAGATCTGAATATACCATATATGAATTTAATAGACTGTGCCTAAAATGTTGGGAGGGGTGTCACAGAAAGGGAGTCTCCTCATTCACTGTACCCTGGACAACCTAAAAGTCCTCATTGCTCATTGCACATTCTTGCGCTCAGCAGTCCTTGTCAGCCACCCACTTAAGACGGTTTTCTCTATGGGCTTCAACACTACACCCACCCTCACCTCACTGCACCCACCCTCGCACACTCCTCTGGTTCTTCTGTCTTCCTTCTCTCTTCTCTCTCCTTTACTCTTTCTTCTACATCCAATCTCTCCAAAGACAGACATAAATTCCTTTCCTTATCTCATGCAGAGTCTCTGGGGAGAGAGAAGGAATTATACCTCTGTTGCTTCATTATTAAACTCTTTTTCTCAAGCAAAAACACTTTCTTCCCATCAAGAATTCTAGTGCTAGATGTTAATTAAAGTAATCAAAAAAATTACTTAATACACATGTGTAAACAAAAAGTATGCAGCGTTATTCTGTTGGGTAGTTCATGCCAGACCAAGCACTATGATAGTCCTATTCAAATGGACTAATAAGAATGTTTAGAACATCCTGTCTCATTTAGGAGTATGCCCTTGATCATAAAAGCTCAGCTGAATCCCAGAACTGAACCTGGGAAAACTTGATTTGTCTGTGCCCTTTGAAAGTATTTTTACAAACTGCTCCTGTAGCAGCAGTTTGTAAAATACTTTCAAAGGGCACAAGATGGGGTGCTGCTTTTATTAGATAAGACAAAAAGTAAGTGGTACCTATGGTAACCAGAAAGTTTCAAGGTTTTTCAGACCTGTGTGGACTCTTAAGGTATTTTCAGCTTGCAAACTTTGAGCTGAGCTGTGATACCAATCCAGTTGCAAAAATTGGCATGGGCAAAAATGCAATGGTCATTTCATGTGGTCAAATCAGGTGACCAGCTAAACAATGAAACTTCAAGGTATGTGGCTTGTTCCAGTTGCTACCTGATGGTGTAAAACAACAACCAGTTTATTATTCTCAAGGATTATATGGGTCAGGAATTTGGGAAGGACATGACAAAGACAGCTTGTATTTGCTCCACAACACCTAGAGTCTTAGCCGGAAAGTCTCAAGGCTGAGGGTTACTGAATAGCTGGGAGCTGGAATTATGTGACTCTTCCACTCATGTGTCTTGGTGTTTGATGTCAGTAAGTCTATTTACGACCTCCTCATCTGGGCTTTCTCAGAATGTGCTGGTTAAGTTCTGTGGTAAGAAGCCTCTAAAATGGTCTCCAATGATTTCCACCTGCTGGTATTCGCAGCCTTGTGTAACCTCACCCCCTTGATTAAATTGCTTCTAACCCATAGAATATGGCAACACTGAAGAAATATTTCTGCTATGACTAGGTCACAAAATAATCAATCTCTCTCTCTCTCTCTCTCTCTCTCTCTCTCTCTCTCCGCCCCCCCTCCATTCCTTCCTCTCTCTCTCTCACTTTGATGAAGGAAACTGCCACATTGAAGAAGCTCACATGGTAAGGAATTGACTGTCACACTGGCCAATAGCTATACAAAACTAATGGTCTTCAGTCTAACATCCCCCAAAGAAGTGAATCCCACCAAAAAACACATAAGTGACTTTCAAAGTAGATTCTTCCCCATTCAAGCCTTCAGATGAGACCCCAGCCCTGACCAAAACTGTGATTATTATAGGCTTGTGAAACGTCCTGAAGCAGAAGACACAGTTAAACCATGATTAAATTACTAACTCAGAAACACTGTGGGATGGATAATAAATGTGTATTGTCTTAAACTGCTAAGTTTTGGGATGATTTGTTACATAGCAATAGATATCTACTACAGGTTCCAAGAGCAAGTATCTCACAAGAACCAGGCAGAAACCATAGCTTTTATGACCTGGGCTCAGAAATTACATAGCATCACTTCCCCCAAATTCACAGGCCTGCACAGATTCAAGCAGATGGAATATAGACCCCATCTCTCACAAGGAGGAGTGTACAAGTGTCAACATGTTATCATAATAAGAACATGTGGGAGGAGAGATGCTGCTGTGGCCATCTTCGGAAAACACAGTCTGGCCTGTGGCTCTTTGGCCTTGACCCATAGCATGGCCTGATCTGCTCATGTGAAAATTTCAAGAAATATTTATGTTGTTTTGCTATTTTGAAATTGAGGTTTTGTTTGTCTTCCTCCTGACATGTCTCCTCGTGCTTTTAAGAAATTCTCAAGCAATTTATCAGCATGTCACAAGATTAATGGGAGTTTCCCCTCCTGCAACCAGGGAGCCCTCAGAACCATAATTTCCAAGAATATGAATGACTATCTGAAGAATAAGATCCTCTCCACTTAAGAGTGACTCCTAATAAGTTACAACACTGCTCTGGCTACATGTTCTGAACATTCCTGTATTGCCCCACACTCCATACCAGTTGAGGAGAAAGAAGACAGTGAACAAGGAGAATGTGGTTGGGGAACCTAATGAACACGCAGGCTGGGCAGACTCCACTGGTATTTCCAGCACACCATAAACTCACAGAACTTCTGAACACAAAGGAATCTCAAAGATCGATTGATTCAATTTATACTGGAAATGATAGTAGCTACATTTAGTGAGACCTGACTATAGCAGTATGCCCTTTATAGCTGAATGAAGTAGACATTAGTGTCTAATGCAACTCAAATATGTCAGACTTCACCAGTTTGTAAACCCATGCTTTTATTTAATGCACCATCATTGCAGCTTGAGCCTCGTCCTACTTGATTTCATGAAATCCAGGATTTTATTAAGTTCTACTATGGAGCTCTTACATGGTCCACCCATTTCCTCTGTACTTTCCATCTCTGTCAGCTGCCTGGCCCCACATGGGGGACTCCTGTGTCTGAACACCTGCTTCCTTCAGGGTACAACTTTCCTAAGCCCCTTGCTGTGCCCCAGCATGGGCTGTAGAGACCCCTCCACCATTTTGCTATTGTGATAACGCAGACTAGGCTGAAACTTCTAACAAGGCATTACCAAAGGCTTGGAGAGAAATCACAATTACAACAGAGAGAAACTTGAAACTCAGTACCTTTGCTCAGATTCCCCAGTCTCTGGGTTTGACTTCTAGATTGCTCTCTGCTGCTGCCATGGAGGAAGAGCCAGCCTGCCTCCCCACAGTGGGAATAAACTCCATCCTACAAATCCCTGAGGTTCAGATAAAGGAGGCAGTTATTTCCCCCACACTTTAACCTAAGCCCCATGTCCTTAGTCTTTATTTCCTGCCTTAGGATTGATTGTGTTCCGGGAGGCCTGAGAATTAACATGTCTATTTCATGGAAAACTCCATCTTCTAAACAATAACAGAACAAGCATTCTAACCATAGAACACCGTGTGTGATAATAACAGCCCAATCAATGCTGAATCTTATAAAGCCCAGTTAAGTTCTTTTCCTCATTCTCTCCTCTAGCATGAGTCGTGATCACGGTTTTACAGTCATCTAGCCATCTTTAGTGTCTCAGCTCTTGAGTTTCTATGATTGTTTAGTTGAAAAATGGCTTATTCGGCCTAGCATGGTGGCTCACACCTATAATCCCAGCACTTTGGGAGGCCAAGGGGGGGCCCATTGCTTGAGCTCAAGAGTTCAAGACCAGGCTGGGCAACATGGCAAAACCTCATCTCTACAAAAAAATACAAAAATTAGCTGGGCACAATGCCCTGTAGTCCCAGCTACTTGGGAAGCTGAGTTGAGAGGATCACTTGAGCCCAGGAGGCTGAGGCTGCAGTGAGCAGAGATCATGCCACTGCACTCCAGCCTGGGCAACACAGCAAGACTCTAAGAAAAGAAAAAGAAAAATTGCTTATCTATTACAAAATTTTCCAGAGCAAGCAATAATAAAGTGACAAATGGTAGTGTAAATACATAGAAGATTTTAGGCTGGGCATGGTGGCTCTCATCTATAATCCTAGCACTTTGGAAGGCTGAGGTAGGAGGATCAATTGAGCCCAGGAGTTCGAGACCACCCTGGGCAACATAGTGAGACTCCATCTCTACAAAAAATAAAAATACGGAAATTAGCCAGGCATGGTGGCACATAACTATACTTCTAGCTACTCAGGAGACTAAGGTGGGAGGATTGTGGGAGGGGAGGGGAGGGGAGAGGAGATGAGAGGATATTAATTTGGCCTAATATGCTGACATTTTACACAATTTTGCCAAACATTTTAGTTCTTAGAGTCATAGTAGCAGACCATGAGGTAAGATTGTTTTCTCTATATTTGCATAAGGCCTCTAAGCAGCATTTTCTGAGACATTTCCTCTTTTTAGAGATGCAAAAATGTGTACAGATTATAAATGACAGCTCTTTTTCAGCCTCTATTTCTCAAGTGATCCAAAAATATTTGGGTTTAATCTCAGCCAAGTTCACCTTTTTATATCCACTTATGGACAGAGGAAGCTGAGGTTGTATGAAATCAAATTTGCCCGAACTATACAATTAGAAAACGAGGCTGGGGATGGTGGCTCACACCTATAATCCCAGCACTTTGGGAGGCCAAAGAGGGAGAATCACTTGAACCCAGGAGTTCAAGATCAGCTTGGGTACCACAGGGAGACCTCATCTCTATAAAATATCATAATAATAATTTTTTTAAATTAAGCAATAGAAAATGGGAAGGCTGAAATTCAGAACACCAGCTGCCCTAGACGCTCTGGCCCTTGCAACTATACCAGACCACACTTGATCTAAAAGGAAATGTTATGTATCACAAAAACATGCTTTGTGAAGACCAGCCAAGCATACAACAAATCAGTCCCATTCAGTTTGGGATTACGAGCAAGACAAACAATAGAGCAGGCTTCAAAATAAACTTCCGTTTCCAGGATGAGAAGGAAACATAGGGACATAAGCTCTTAGGAGACACCTGCAGCGAGCAGGGACCCGTGCCAGAGAAAGGGTATAAAGTGGAGCCTGAAAGGAGGGAACTCCGAGGAGGACACCACGTTCATTCTTCCATCCCACAAACTTTCACCAAGTGCGTCCTTTGTGCCCGGCTTTGTGCTTGGCTTTGTGCTACCAGGCAGGCACATGCTGATGAATCAGTGAGAGGCGCTGGCCCCCTTGGGCCTCACAGTCTGGTAGAAGGGACAAACAAGTAAACATAGAACTTGCATTCCTCTGATTCAAGTGAAAAGGACATCCTGATTAAAATATCTATGGAAGCTCTGAGAATATTTGTGCCCAATCACAGAAAGGGCCGGGACTGATTGCCGTTTCCTTTGTTTAACCAACTCTCTTACACCTGGGGTAGAATCCCTGGGACCAGCCATCCCTTCAGATCTCTGGGGCAGCTCACCT